TAGTAAAAACAAACAAACACGCAAACGGTATAAGAATAATGAAATATCTTAGATAAATGGCGTGATAGAAGATATGTATATGTACAAAAATTTCACGTAAAGCAGTTAAAGACCGGGAGAAATCAGCGAGTCATAAACATATAAACTATACAGGAAATAGAAATGCGATTGTAAGTCTCATTAATTAAAAATACTGATGTTGTTCAACACAACAGCCTGAGCCACTGGCATGATCAGAAATCGTCAGACGTTAAATCGATCGTGGATAGTGTTGGAGTGGTACTTCTGGCCGAAGTCTGTCCCAAAACTGCAGCAGTGATCGGACCCGGAGCGAGACAATACAAATTACCACATTTATCCAACCATGGAGCTAATTCGTTGAGCTCCGCGGTGACACGTTCCAGCATTTGCCCGATTCGAGTTGACTGATGCGGTTGTGAGGAATCCAACGAGGATGTTGTTAATGGTTTCCAGTGGTTAGAATGCACATTATCGTCACCATTGGAAACATCTGGTGTGTATTGTGGTTGGTCGGCAGCAATATGAGAGGGCTCATGATCCGAAATTCGAGATGAGCATGTCGGATTCGCGGTTAAAATGGTGGTGGAAGAAACAGAATTAGTTATGCCACTGGCTATTGAAGGGAAGCTGGATACAGTCGTCTCTAGAGCATGAACGATCAAGTCTTTAGTGGTTCCATCGATTTCCGATGCAGATTCAGGACGACAAGCGTGATCATGTCCGGATTCAACTGAAGCACTATTTTGGTTTATTTCTCTCGTACAAGATAACGGACTGGTATTTTCCACAGAAACGGAGGGGTCTTCGGTGCACAATAATTCGGATCGAGGAGAGGTATATTCGATCGGCGGACCCGCCCTTTCGATTTCGTTGTTTTCCTTGCGATTTGGGTCTACTGAAGAAAGCGATGCGGCTGGAGAGTTCACACACTCAGCAACATTATAGGGGGTGGCGGTTGCAGAGGATACATTGTCTTTTGGGTCAGTAAGCGTGGGTTCTATCAATTCGTTAGAACTGCTTACTGAACCGTGCGAAGAAACCATAGTCTGAGAATTATTCGTGGAACACTGGTCAAATGGTTCTGCGGAAAGAGTGCTGGGGATCGTACTAGTTTGGTCGGGAGGGACGATGGATTCTGTGCGATCTTGCAGCTGGGCAGTGCTCGCAGAATTATGAGGAGTATGACCGGAGGTAACATGTTGAGTTTCAACAGGGTCTACGGATCCGTTCGAATGACTTGCCTCTAAAAGAGATTTATTGCTCGTCTCTGGTATCACTTCACCAGGCACTTCATTCTCCCCGGGTTGTGCTGTCAGGTTGTTTGGTGAAATTTCACCACC